GATATTGGTCTGTAATTTTCTTTTTTTGTGGTGTCTTTACCTGGATTTGGTATCAGGGTTATGCTGGCTTCATAGAATGAGTTTGGGAGTATTCCATCCTTTTCTATGCTTTGGAATACCTTTAGTAGTAGTGGTGTTAACTCTTCTCTGAAAGTTTGGCAGAATTCTCCAGTGATGCTGTCCGGGCCAGGGCTTTTTTTTGTTGGAAGTTTTAAAATTACCTTTTCAATCTCTTCTTTTGTTATAGGTTTATTTAGTTGTTCTACTTCTGTTTGTGTTAGTTTACATAGGTAGTGAGTTTCTGGAAATTTGTCCATTTCCTTTAGCTTTTCAAATTTGATTTAATTTCAGTTGGGTCTGTTGTGATATCACCCATCTCATTCTTATACGGGTTATTTGCTTCCTCTTCTGTTTTTCTTTTGTCAGTTTGGCCAGTGGTTTATCGATTTTGTTGATCTTTTCAAAGAAACAGATTTTGGTCTTGTTAACTCTTTCAATTGTTTTTCTATTCTCTATTTCATTTAATTCTGCTCTAATTCTTATCATTTCCTTTTTTCTGGCGTCCCCGGGCTTCTTTTGCTGCTCTCTTTCTACTTGTTCATGTTGTAAGGTTAATATTTTGATTTTGGCCCTTTCTTCTTTTTGAATATGTGCATTATATTGGTATAAACTGACCTCTGAGCACTGCTTTTGCTGTGTCCCAAAGGTTCTGGTAGGATGTGTTTTCATTCTCGTTTGATTCTATGAATTTCTTTATTCCATCCTTAATTTCTTCTGTAACCCAGTAGTTTTTGAGCAAGGTATTGTTCAGTTTCCATGTGATTGATTTTTTTCCTTCTTTTTCTGTTGTTGATTTCTACTTTTATGGCTTTATGGTCAGAAAAGATGCTTTGTAATATTTTGATGCTTTGGATTCTGTTAAGGCTTAGTTTATGGCCTAATATGCGGTCTATTCTGGAGAATGTTCAATGTGCATTGGAAAAGAAAGTATACTTGGCTGCTGTTGGGTGGAGTGTTCGGTATATGTCTATGAGATCAAGTTGGTTGATTATAGCATTTAGGTCTTCTGTGTCTTCTTTATTAAGCTTCTTTCTGGATGTTCTTTCCTTCACCGAAAGAGGTGTGAAGTCTCCTACTATTATTGTGGAGCTGTCTATCTCTCTTTTCAATGCTGTTAGAGTTTGTTTTATGTATTTTGGAGCCCTGTCATTTGGTGCGTAAATATTTGTTATAGTTATGTCCTCCTGTAGTGTCCTTCCTTATCCTTTGTGGTGGATTTTCCTTTAAAGTCTATTTTGTGAGAGATTAATATTGTCTTGGCTATCATCTTAACGGAGGCAGCTTGCGGGGCCTATCTTCTGCGGTGCCACTAGGTGGGTTCGAACTACCAACCTTTGTCAGCAGTAGAGCACAAACGATTTGCGCCACCTTAAAGGGCACATACCAGATTTCAAAAGCTTCCTATTCCAGTGTAACATTCAAACCGAAGAATGCACGGACTGGGAGTGGACAGCTTTCTGCATGTTTACAAAACAAAACACCCCCAGGGAGCCAGAAATAGAACATTCCATCACCCCGAGCCACTGTGTTCCCTTCCAGTCATTCCAGCTGTGAGGGTAGCTCTGACCACTTGCAGCAGCGAGGCATTTGCCTGAGGAAACCAGATTTCTGTGATAGTCTCAGAGAATGCTAAATGAACAGCCCAGTGGTCACCGATGCTGGCTCCAGTCCCAGGCATGTAAACAACAGCGGGTTTTCATGACCCAGAGGAATGAGGGCACACACAGGGCTGCCGCATTTGATGCACGGGATATGTTCCTGAATCTCTCACATCATTTAAACCCATTGCCATCAAGTTGATTCTGACTCATAGTGACCCTATAGGACAGAGTAGAACTGCCCCATAGGGTTTCCAAGGAGCGGCTGGTAGATTCGAACTGCCGACCTTTTGGTGAGCAGCCGAGCTCTTAACCACTGAGCCACCAGGGCTCCTCACATCATTTAGGACTCCCAAAATTCAAGGCTAGCTTTCTCATTGAAATAACTGTCAAGTAGGATTGGCATGACTTCACATTTGAGACTGAAAATGAGACTTTAATACTGCCCAGTTGCAATTAGCATAATTCTAATTCACACACTACTCTGAGCACAGCTCTCTCTGGACTCTCTGGCCCTACCCCCATGGGGCTGATAGGGACCACATTTTAGCATCTTTGGGACCCAGTCATGCTGACCGGATGGGATGCAGGTTGAGGGTGTGGTATGGTTTTGGGGGGTTCTGGGGCTGCCCAAATTCCAGCCCTCCCTCTGCTGCTCCTTGTAGTGTGATCCTGGGCAAGCTCCTATCTTTCAGGGCCTCAGTTTCCTCATCTGCGAAATGGGATGTGTTCTGGGTATAAGGAAAGGTGTGAACGCATGAAAACCCCAGGCACACAGTAGGGGTCAGTGAAAGCTTGTTGGCACCAAGGCCCCTCGGTGGGAAAAGCCTGCTCTCCTGCCCCCCCCCACCCCTCCACGCTGCTCAGAGGAGAGTGAAGTAGTCAGGCCCAAGCGGGGAACTTGGAGGCTGAGCCCCCTGGAAGCTGGGGCCTGGGCTCAGATGCCACGGTCACAGGCCTGGATTGGGCAAGAGCAGAGAAACAGTCCCTCTGATCTTGGTCAGGGGTGTTTGGAGAGATTGACAATTCTGGGAAATTCAGAGGCAGGAAGTGAGGGGGAGGGACAGGGGAAAGAGTAAACTGCACCCCGGCACCCCTGGCCCCCTTCCCAAGTCACACAATGAAAGTGCGGTGATTAGCATGTGGGCATGGAGAGCAGAGTGGGATGGATAAAACAGGAGGCCCCCTTTCTGGGGGAGAAATTCAGAGGCACTCCCCTCCCCCACGCCCACCCCCACTCACCCCTGAGTTCCAACTCCATTTCCACTTCTGTTTACCGTCCAAAGTCCTGGGCACAGGAGGTGCCAGGTTAGGCGTGCTCTGATACATGGACACGCAGACACACAGGGCTCAGGGCCCTCGGATGGACCCTGCACCCTCCCCTCCTGGTGTTCAGCGCCATCCGCCCCCACCCTAATTCTCCCAGCTTCAGCCCTCTCCTTAGCCTGGGACCTGCACGGCAGCATCGTCATCAAGGGATCCAGGAGACAGACCTCAAGACCTTCAGCAAGTAAAACATGGGAAGCAAGGCAGGGGGAGTGAGTGAGGGGCAAGCGTGGGGCGAGGAGGGAGGACTAGGGGTGGGTAGGACTACTTGGAGGATGGATTTTGGACGTCAGGACTGGGCGGGAATGGAGGAAAGAAGGAAGGCTGCCCTGTAGACACCTATCAGACTTAGAAGTTGGATCTCAGACTCCAGCCTTGGCTCCATTCAGCCCCACTCAGCCTTGACCTCAGCCCCACTCAGTCTTGACCTCACCCTCAACCCAGTCCCAGTCCAGTGCCAGCTCTGTCATGACCAAGGAGTATCAAGATCTTCAGCATCTGGACAATGAGGAGAGCGACCATCACTATCAGCTCAGAGAGGGTGAGAGGACAACTTTGCCTCATTTCTGAGAGGCGAGCCACCTCTGCCTCAGCCCCTGCTTCTTTCTGTGACTGTGGCCTTCTCAGGGGAGGTGTAGGGTTGGAGGCCCTTTCTGGGTGATAGGTGCCTAAGGCCTCCGTAAGCCTCCTGACCCTCGCCATGACACCCACCTCAGGACCTTGGGAGGGTAGGCCCAGGGGTGCGGGAATAACTGGAAGCTGGAAAGATGAGGTGACCCCCTGTTGGTTGTGAAGAAGTTAAGCCCCAGCCCCTCTTCCTTTCCTCTTTCAACGCGCAACGAGCCTGTGTATGTTTGGTGTGTTTGGTGTCAGGGATCATTTGTTCTGGGGGGAGGTTTTTGTGAGGGGGCTGAAGATGTAGGGCTGAGAGCTTACAAAGGAGCAAAGACTTTTTAGGAGCAGCAGTCTGGGAGGGAGAGAAGGCCTGAATTCCTGAATGGAAGGCAGGAGAAAGAGTGATTCCAGGAGGGGCTTAGGTAGGAGTTTAAGGGGTAGGGCCAGGCCTATATGGGCCTCTGATCTGAGGGTGGATAAGAACCTCCTGCATGAAAAACACTGGATTATTATGTGAGAGAAAAATAAGTTTTATCTTATTGAAAACAAAACACCCGAAACAAGCCCCTCTTCTCTCTCACGTGGGTAGGGAATGTTGTTTTGGCTGAGCAAGGACAACGTTCTCGGGGCATAAGGGTGGGCAGTGCACTGTAAAGGGAGAAGGGGCTGCAGGGGAGGAGATAGGAGGAGAGAGAAGAGGAAAGGCCCCCTGAGAGTGAGGCCCCACCCTCCAGCTCACAGAGGACAGGGCCAGGGGATGTCATTTTCTTTTCTCTGCGTGGGAGCAACATGAGGAGGCTGGAGTTTGGCTACTCTGCCTTTGCTCCTTGCGCTCAGCCAAGGAAAGGGGAGATTCCTGGTGAGAGAAAGAAACCTCCTTCCCTTGCCCCATCGTTGAGGGTAGCAGGGACTCCCCAACTGACTACCCACTCCATCAGTCACGCCCGGCATACAAACCTCGCCCTCCAGCCCACGGGTCCTGAGGAGGTCCGTCAGCTGCAGTGACACAGTCAGGCCACTAGGTGGCAGCAAAGGCTCGGGGTCTGGGTGAGGCTAAGCGAGGTCAAAGCTTTGTACCCCTTCTTTCCTCCCCCACCTCCTATTGCCTCTAGACCTTCAGGGTCACCCACTGCCAGATTTCTTCTTCCCTCTGGGTGGTGCAAACAGTTAATGCACTTGGCTGCTAACCAGAAGGCTGGCAGTTTGAATCCACCCAGAGGTGCCTCGGAAGAAAGGCTTGGCGATCTACTTTCGAAAAATCTGCCATTGCAAACTTTATGGAGCACAGTTCTATTCTGACACACAAGGGGTTGTCATGAGTTGGAGTCGACTCAACAGCAACTGGTTTTAGTTGTATGGGGCTTCCTAGCCTATTAGGGGAGCCTTCACCTGCTCCCCTCCCAGGAAACTGGCTTGGCTCCCCTCTGCTCATGAGCTCCTGATACCCTCTCCTCTTGCAGGGCCACCTCCTCCCCAGCCCTTCCTGAGGCGTCTCTGCTCCGGACCCTGCCTCCTCCTGTTCTCCCTGGGCCTCAGTCTCCTTCTGCTGATCATCATCTGTGTAATTGGATCCCGAAGTGAGGGTCACGGGGACCAGGCAGGGGGACAGTTATGAGCGGGAGCAATGGTGCTCAGGTGGCGGACACAGCCCCCTCATTTGGTCCTGTCCACACCCTCTCCTGCCCAGACTCGCAGCTGCAGAAGGAGCTGCATGCTCTGAGAGGGATGTTCAGCAACTTCACAGTGAGCACTGAGGCTGAGGTCAAGACGCTGAGCACCCAGGGTGAGGGGGCTGGGCTGGGCTGGGGGTCTGGCAATGGTGTGGATGTTGGGACCCTGAACAAGTCTCCCCCCCAGGAGACAGTGTGGGCCGAAAGATGAAGAGCCTGGAATCCCAGTTGTTGGAGCAGCAACGGTTGATGGGTGAAGGTCAGCGTGAGAGAGACAGTGCGCATGCGTGCGTGTGCGCGCATGTGTGCGTGCCGGTGGGGGGGTGGGTATAGGGGCTCTCCCCAGTCAAACAAAGGGGTCTGGGGGCAGAGGCATCAGATCCTATCGGTCTTTAAGCCCCTAGCATGACTGACTCCACCAGTGTCCGTACTGACCTCATCCCCCACCCCTCTCCCCATCCTCCAACCCTCTGTCCTGTCTCACCAGACCACTCCAACTTGCTGCTACACGTGAAGCACTTTGTGTCTGACCTGCGCAGCCTGAGCTGTCAGTTAGCCATGCTCCAGGGCAACGGTGAGGAGGCAGGGTGCCCAGCTCACTTCCCTGCCTACCACCTCTGCAGGCAGTGCCTCAGCCCCTCCATCCTCTGTCCTCTCAGGCACTGAAAGGTCCTGCTGCCCTGTTAACTGGGTGGAGTATGAAGGCAGCTGCTACTGGTTCTCTCGCTCTGGGAAGTCCTGGCCCGAGGCTCAGAAGTACTGCCAGCTGGAGGACGCCCACCTGGTGGTGGTCACTTCCTGGGAGGAGCAGGTGAGGCTCTCAGAGGACCTCGTCTGGGAGTGTGGCTGGTCTAGGGAGAGATCACCGCCACCCTCCTCTCTCCCCAGAATTTTATCCAGCACCACATGGGCTCTGCAAACACCTGGATGGGCCTCACCGACAAAAACGGGCCCTGGAAATGGGTAGATGGGACGGACTATGAGACAGGCTTCAAGTGAGTGTGTGTGTTCTCCAGCAGCCCTGCTCCCTCTGCCCAGCCTGGCTGGTTCCAGGGGTGCCTCAGGGACTTGGCTAAGGGTGCACGTCCTGGGGCCCACATGTGTTCTGTCTCCTCAGGAACTGGAGGCCAGAGCAGCCAGATGACTGGTACGGGCATGGCCTTGGAGGAGGCGAGGACTGTGCCCACTTCACTAACAACGGTGGCTGGAATGATGACGTCTGCCAGAGGCCCTACCGCTGGGTCTGCGAGACAGGGCTGGACAAGGCCAACTAGGAGCCTCCTCTGGCCCTAATTAATTTCCTCAATGTCTTGACCTGCCCAAGGGGTCCAGGATTGGGGATCCTCCTATTTGGGGGCCTCCTCCACCTTCTCAGGGATTTTCCTCTAGAATTTTAGGGGAAGGGGGGAGGATGGTGTCTGAGGAAGACAGAATGATGTCTGGAGGTGTGGGAAGATTGAAACCCATGTCACTTTCTGCAATTTGCTGTGAAGGTTATATTATTGTTGAACTTTTTTTTAGAGTGGAAAGAAGAGAAATACACTTAGAAAGTCTATGAGTTGCCTATTTATTGGGGATTAGGATTGGGAGCGGGCTGGTTGGCATTAGGAGGCCTTGGGAAGGCAATATGGTGTCATGAGAACTGTATAGCCTTGAGCCAGGTGGCCTGGGTTAGGAGCTGGCTTTGTTATTTACTGGTATGTGAGTTTGGGCAGGTTATTGCACTCTCTGGGTCTCAGCTGTCAAATACTATTGTTACTGGGAACCATTCTACTTGTAGCAATATTCCCAGGAAGAACCACTCCAATGTATTGAGTGCTTCAAAAGTCTTGAACAAAACTCATCGGTGTCTGTTGATTCATTGCAGTAAACAGAAGAAGCAGCCACAGGCTGGCTAACAGGGAACCTTAAATACAAAGAGAAACACATACCAAGAATAGCCTACATCTGAAGAAAAGCAGGACCAGGGGAGAGAAGCACCAAAATAAATAGAATCAACAACCAAGGACCAGAGGTAAAGGACAAACAGATTAAGACTTTACAGACACCTAAGGGATTATTAACAAACTGACAAAGTATCAGCCCACAAAGAAGACCTTAACTAATCGCCCAATAGAGCAATGCTCTGACCACGACAAAATTAAGTTAGAAATAATCACAGAAGTGTAGCTAAAAAAGATCTATCAACATATAGATTTCTCACCCTTTTTCTAAATAATTTCGAGTTTAGGAGAAAATCAAAATGAAAAAAGTTAAGGGGTTTAGAAAATAACAATGAGAGCACTATACAGCCATGCGTTGCTTAACGTCCATGATATAGTCTGTGAAATAGGAAGTTATGTAATTTGGACATTGTGTGAACACCATATTATATACTTAGCAAAGCTATATGGGATACCTTTTGTTCCACTTGCAAATTGATACTTCTGCTTTGCCTCCTGTGGCTGCTTTCATTAGCACTGGTTTAGCTGTGTCTGGGAGCCATGATGCACTTCGTGGTAATATTTTCAAAAGAAAAACAGAGAATGCAACAACACTCACGAGATGTGCAATACACGAGATTGGGTGTTGCTGCCTACGAGTCAAAGCATACACCGTTAAGCAGTAAACTTTTTATTTCTAAGTAGGGAAAGTTCACATTAAAATAATGCCAGAAAGTACAGTACAGTACACACATAAGCCAGTAACATAGGCGTTTATTACGACTATCAAGACATACGTGTTATAGGTTATATATGTACTGTACCATTATACTCCTGGCAGCAAGAGATGTGAGATACATGTGTTGCAAGTGGCAAGCTGTTGTGTTCGCTACGTCCAGTTACGTGTGGTTACATCTACTACATCCTGATCTCCGATCGTGATTTCTGAACTCTGCTGTAACTTTATGGGACCACAGAAATATACACAGCTGGACGTTGCCAGAAGGGATGTTATGCGGTGCATGACTGCATACTGAAATTGTGGGATGGTCTGAAGCAGTTCTCAGGAGGAAATGTATGGCTGTAAGTGCATTTATTAAAAAACAAGAAAGGCTGAATTGAAATAAGCTAAGTTTTATACTCAAAAGCTTGAGAGAGAAAACTAACAAACAAAACACTAAACCCATCGCCGTGGAGTGGACTCCATGTGTTACAGAGTATAACTGCTCCAAAGGGTTTTCTTGGCTATAACCTTTACAGAAGCAGATCACCCAGCCTTTCTTCTGTGACACCGCGGGGTGGATTAGTAGTCAAGTGTAAAGTGTTTGCACCACTTAGGGACCTCAAAGAACAAAATAGATAAAACAAAAACCAAACCCCTTACCATCAAGTCAATTCTGACTCATAGTGACCCTATAGGACAGAGTAGAGCTGCCCCATAGGGTTTCCAAGGCTGTAATCTTTACGGAAGCAGACTGCCACATCTTTCTCCCCATTGACCTTTTTCAGTTAGCAGCCAAGTGCTTAACCACTGTGCCACCAGGGCACTCAAAGAACAAAACAGATCCCTCAAAATGGAAGGAACTTATAAAAATAAAAGCAAAAATTAATGAAATAGAATATTAAAAAAAAGATACCAGCAAGAGAAACCTGATTCTTTCAAAATGCCAATAAGGCTTCAATTTCACTCTTCTCATTCTGCATATATTTGTGTCCAGAGTTAAGATTGAAGCAGAATAAAAATAGTCCAGCTTGCTCTCTGAGACTATACCATGACAACATTGGCAGGGCGGGGGGAGTAAAAGGGCAATAAACAAATATGAAGGAGGAAAAAAAAAACCCTCAGGCACATAACCTTAGGAAGGAGAAGGGTTACACAGGTATACATATACCCATTGCCATCGAGTCAATTCTGACTCATAGTGACCCTATAGGGCAGAGTAGAACTGCCCCGTAGAATTTCCAAAGAGTGGCTGGTGGATTCGAACGGCCTTTTGGTTAGCAGTCAGGCTCTTAACCACTGTGCCACCAGGGCTCCACTAAGAGTAGGTAGAGAGAATACACTATATAACTCTTCCAGATTTAAAATGGCAGAGTAAAGACAGTGTTTTCCTCACCATTGCTGTAATTTCTAGGTGAACCCCTTAGAAACAGAGGTTATAATTTTCAAACTTATAAAGGGGAAAATTAAAAAAAAAAATCTAAAGGGAGGCAGGAAAAGAGAGAAAGAAAAACCGAACAGGTGGATTAAGAAAAAACACAAAATAGAAGGTAGTTATGAACCCAAACACATTAATGATTATATTAAATGCAAAAAACTAAATTTTGTTAAAAAAAACCCAAAAAATTCAGACAGACTAGTAATAATAAAAAAAAAAAAAAAACTACCTGCTCATTAGACATCTCTAAACAGAAAAGTTGAAAAGTATGAAAAAGATGCATTAGGCCAATTCTAACCAAAATAATTATTGTATAAAATATACTTTATAATCAAAAAATATTATTATAGATAAAGAGGGTCACTTCCTAATGATAAAGGTTCAATTCAATAGGGAGATACAACAGTATGAAATATGTATGCACTGAATAACATAGCCACAAAATATACGAAACAAAAAATTTTAGAAGTATAAACATTTTTCGTTGGGGAGAGAGAAAGGTGGTGGTAACCTGTCCCTAGACCAGCCAGCATCCCGGATGAGGCTACAAATCTACTTTTATAGTGGGAGATTGTAACACAGCTCCCTCAGTAATTGATAGATCAAGCAGATTAAAAAAAAAAAGAATAAAAATACAGAACTTTTGAACCTACATGAATTATTATTACTCAATGGACACATTTGGTACACAGCACCCATCAACTACAGAATACTCATTCTTTCTAAGTACACTGGGACGTTTTCAAACATTGCGCAAATAGCAGGCCATAAAGCAAGTTTTAACAAGGTAACATGAGGTGACACAAGATAGGTCTCTCTGACCTGGCCAGCTCTCACTCAGGGTCACCTTATCACCTCATTAGCATAGCCTGTTACTTAGGTGTGGTCTGGAGTTCTTACTGAAGACACTTAAATTCCAAGGTTTATCTCTCAGGAACCCAGATACAAAGACCAAATTCCTTGGGTAAAGTTAACGTAAACCCCACAACGGGGCACTTCAACTTGGTGAAGGAGAGACAATATTCAGGAAACTGGCTCTCTATATGAAGAAAAATAAAACTGGATTCATACCTAACGTCACATAAAAAATAGATGCTGGATAGATTAAAGACCTAAATGTGAAAGGCAAAATCACGGAACTAATACCAGTACCAGTTGCTGTTGAATTAATTCTGACTCATGGTGATCCCATGTGTGTCAGAGTAGAACTGTGCTCCATAGGGTTTTCAATGACTGATTCTCCATGAGAGGAAGATGGGGCAGTCTGCTTCCATAAAGATTTAGAGCCTTGGAAACCGTATGGAGCAGTTCTACTCTTTCTACATGGTCACCAAGAGTCAGAATCCACTCGACGGCGGTGGGTGGGTGGAATTTTTCAGAAGTAGATCACCAGCCCTTTCTTCCAAGGTGTCTCTGGGTGGAGTCAAACTGCCAACCTTTCTTTTAGCAGCTAAGCATGTTAACCGTTTGCACCACCCAGGGACTACAGAACTAACAGAAGGAAAAAACAAAGAAGAAAGGGAAGTTTTTGTAATCTAGTTACAAAACAACAAGGAACAGTTGCTATCAAGTCCGTTCCAACTCATGATGACCCCATGTGCTGCAGAGTAGAACTTCATTCCATAGGGTTTTCAAAGCTTTCAGAAGCAGATTGCCAGAACTTTCTCCTGAGGTACCTCTGGTTTGAACTACCAACCTTTTGGTTAGTAGTTGAGCGCCTAATTGTTTGCACCATCCAGGGACTCAATAGAAGCTACAGAAAGGCTTCTTAAATAAGGCCTCCAAAACAGATACCAAAAAGCCAAAAAAACTTTTTAGTGAAATTGACTGCATGAAAATTACAGACTTCACATGGATGACAACGTACCAGTCAGGCCCCCCAGCAGGAAACAGGTGGTGCTCTGGACATGGGGAGTTGGGAGATGTTTTATTAAGGGGACCATTTACAAAGGTGTGAGCAGGCTTAGGGAAGCCACGGGGTAGGGCAGAAGCCCAGGCATCCTTGCAATGGGAGCCATGACCACCACGAGGAAGCCAATGAGACAGAAAACTGCAAGAAGAGGGCCTCCCAACAGGAGCTGCGACTTTTTTCATATCTGCTGTGACTTTTGGTTGCAGGATGCAGCTGCCCACAGCAACCCTGCAGCAGGGGGAGCTGCGACAATCAACACCCTCACTTCACTCCTCTTCCGC